GGGCCTCCTCGGGGAAAGCCACGTTGACTTTCCTCTGCACCCGATCAAACAGCTCGGTGGCGCGGGAGATCCACGCCTTCAGCGACTCTCCTTCATGGGCACGCAACTGAAACACCTCAGTCAAGGCTTCGGACATCTCGTCCGACTGATCTTTTTGAGGGAAACATTGATCAAGTAGTTCAAAAATGATCTTTTCACCTCCAGCTTTTTGGTATGCTGACTGCTCAAGATGCTCGACACATTCCAGCGCTTTTCCAGAAAGTAAGGTGTACACATATGCACCTTTGGCGTTGTCGGGGATCTTGTCGCCAAGAGTGAGGATTTTGTTTGTGACCCATGTACGCCAGCGTTTGTACTCTTTGGCGTCTTCGGTGTCGCCACTGAACGTTCGCAGGCCTGAGGTTTCGTTCGACGAGCTCATGGCATTCATGCTAACCTGTCCAAGGAATCCTATCCTATGGAGCCCCGGTCTTCGGGGCTCCGCTACCAATATCGAAACCGCGAGTTCGGATCCTACCGAAACAAACGGGCTAGCTTGCGCTCCATTTTCCTCGAGCGAAACAGCTGTCCCTGCGAGCAAGACCGTGGTGGAGCACGTGGCATTCATGCTGGGCAACAAGATATATATATATATAATAGACTAGATTGATCACAAAGGAGTTTCACAACTTGTATAAATATCTTAAAACTCCGTGGTACCGTCGGGTAGTGTTCATCAGGGTTGAAAGCCCAAAAGGAGATACATCTGCTGGAGAATGAATAACACCTGAAGAAAGGCCTTGCTTGGGCTAGCGGCTAGCCATGCTTGTGTCTGATGAGCAACACGTCGCTCGTTAGAGGGCTTACACGATTGGCTTCTCCGCAAGCGAATGCACACTGTGCAGGAAAACTCCGTTGAAAGATCCAATGTGCTACGGAATTTGACATGATCGTCCAGTCACAAGAGTGCTGCATTGGGAAGCAGAACCTGACTGGAATCACAACCCCAAAATGCCAATGACTCCAATCACGTTTGAGGGACAGGCCTTTGCGTCGTCTGGTCTCCCATTCAACGCCGCCAAGTGCAACTGTCCTGTCAGCGAAAAGCAAGACACCAATCAAAACGGTTGTCCAGTATCGTTGACGGTTGATCAATCAAATTTCCCAAGACTGGAGATGCGTCATGCTCGACCTTGTCGGGGTCATCCACCAATGATGCTCATCACGAAACAAACAAATCAGCCCATGCGTAGCGTGAAGTGCCTAGTTCTGAACTTCATGCTGAACATCTGTAAACAATCTCCGAACCTTCCTGTCGGGTCGACCTGGAGACAATGAGAAAAACATGAAAAACCAATCAGAAGGGTTGCTTCACCTGCTTCACCTCTCTGAGGTCCCGGAAACATCTGGTGGGTCTGACAAGCATGTCACCGGTATGAGGTTTCTCGAAATCCTGCCTTAAGCCATGTCATTATACTAATGGTTACTATGGGGACGGGTCAAAACCTGGAGCCCCACCATGTAGCTTGGCCTTGCAGGTAGGTCGAAGTATCTTGGTAGCACTTTGGCCCAAACCTACGGCCTTTCATTGCGGTGTCGCTGTCGCTCCCACCCAGTGTCTGGGCCATGCCATGCTCAGTGAGCAATACAGGGTGTGATCAAGCAATACGAGGTTGCTACGCACGCGATTCTGTGGAATCTTATGGATACACGCACATTCTGTGCAATACATCACCCTCTGTGAGTCCTTTGCATGCCACATGGTCAGCTTCGCCCTTGCGAGTCCCTCATCAAGAGAGTACATGCCAATTATCCATGTTACTAGGAACAAGGGCATCGGCATCGCTACTAGTAACAAGTGCCTTACTAGTAGTAACAAGAAGCTACAGCAGCTACTAGGAACAAGGGCATCGCTACTAGGAACAAGAAGCTACTAGGGCTCCTGGAACAGTCAGGCATTTTTCCATACGGACCTTTGCCTGTTCAATCCGGCTGCAAGGGAAACTTGCCTGCGAGCTTGGTCTTTGGCACCGCCGATCGGCTCACTTTGACCACTTGACATCGCAACGAGGTGTACAGCTGTGTCACAACTGTAGGCTTTCCACTGTGACCAAAGGCTACAAAGCCGAGCTGATCTTGGCTCCATGGCAATCCTCTTCTCAATGTTGGCATCACGTCACGTGTGAGAATCGCACATGGAGCCAACCGGGTGCCCCACCATCCGCGCATGGGAGTGTTGCTACGGCACGCCGCAACCGTCCGGGTCCTCCGTGGCAGGGCCGGGAGTTCCACCTGGAGGCATTCGTCCGGGTCCGTCGCGCGCGGTCCCACCGTGGTTCTCCAGCGGAGTAACTCGCCAGAGGTGAACCAACCAGGACCTTGAAGAGTGGTTTTCGCGCTTTCATGCAATAAGTTCGGTGGATGGAAGTTATATCTGAGCCCGGATGCTGTATTGTAAATATATATATAGATATAGCGAACGCACACGTGGGCCCGAAAACTAGACCTCTGGACTCTGGACTATCTTATCTAATCAAATCTGATCTAGATATTTGTCCTTCGAGAACAAGTGATGAAATGTGTCCATATTATATTGTACGTATGCATTGTATATATCGTTTAGATGTCAATCGTGACGCTGACACCCCGGCCGCACCTGAACTCTTCTGGTCCACCGCGGTTCACCTGAGCACAGCTGGTGAAGCACCGATGGCTGCGCTGGGAGCAACGAGTTGAGCTCGACATGTCGACGGTCCTCGACCTGCGTCGCCTGTTCCGGCAGGTCGGAGACTCCGACTCTCCAGCGAACAGCAACGAACGGGAAGAGAACCGAACACCACTTCGACTACTATCGCTCCTATCGGAACACGTGAAGCCACATGTCTCATGATGTCTGTTTCTGGTGCCAAAGTAACAGCGTATGAAACAAGGCTTGCAGATAAAGACAGAAGACACACAAGAGTAATGGATTCGCCCATGGTTTGGAAGGCCAAATCCTCAACTCTAAACTCTAAAGCACCCTTTTCTTGGCATGGCAACGCTTCCTCACTCTTGATTCAAGTCACGAAATATGTGTGTTCACCCTCCAAATGCTCATGAAAGATATGTGTTCGCATAACAACTGCGAGGATCCGACCTTTTGGACACCGGTCACTCCTCACTCCAAACCCCATCTCTCTGGGTGCCCGAACCGCGTCTCCCCTGGGTCGGTCGGTGGATGGGTCGACGACCCGAGACCGTTTGGTCAACCGGTCGGTGGAACCGGTCGGTCTCCTGGTTTGGACAAGCATATTGGCGGTGTCCGATGTTTGTTCCAGGTGAAGATGCTTTGGGGCTTGGCGAATTCGCCTGGCTTGCGAAAAGGATCACCAAGAACTCGGGGAGCAAGCGGCTCTGTTGGACAAACTGTCAGATGTTCACCACTAGATTAAAAACATGACATCAAAAGCATGTTACTGTACTTGGTAGAGCATCATGCTGGTGGAGCCTGACAAAAAGTTGTAAGGGTGAAGTACATCAAAGATGCCAGATCCCATAGACTTTCACATGGAACCTAAGGACTCCACTCTCAACATCCCCAGAACCTACAGGGTCTGCAGCCCCTGAGCCGGCTGAGTGTCCCAAACTCCAGCAGCGGCTGGGTGCTGCTTTCAACACCTGGAGTGCGATCGGAGATGAAACCACCCAAGCACCCCTGGTGGAGTAGCTGTGAGAAGTGGTTTTCAACCATGAAGGGTGAAGTATTAAAGCGAACTCCACACATCCTGAAAGACGTATGCTTGGGACTGTGTTCCAAACAAATCAAAACAGTAACAGCACCCTGGATGCTCATTATATATATATATAGAGGATTAAACCGGAAACACCACTAGGGGCCTCAGAACAAACTTGAGCAACTCTTCAATGATGGCACCTACAGTGCCCAATCAGGTTTGGTCCTACAAAAGCTGTGCCATCTACAGTGGTATCAGAGTATCATGTAGACGATATCATGATATATCATGTATCTGTATCATCTCTTTTTCATTGTTTCTGTCGGCTTCCTCTACCGTCGGTGATTGTGATCGTCTGGGAAATCGGAGTCACTAACATGCCAGGAAGCTGGATATCGAAGCCACCTGCTTGGTATCTGGATTTCATGGTCATCCTTTCAGGGCCATCCACGTTGAACCCATGATTGTGTGGAGTGTAACCCAGATGTCCAAAAAGTGATGTCAGGGTGTGAAGTCACTTCATTCCGGCTGAAACTGGAGATGGAATGAGATTTAATTTAAGGATATGTCTCCCCAATGCAATGCCCAAAATTGGACCTATGATGACCGATGCAACCGATGGGACCAGAACATGGGGCTCTTCCCCAAGATAACGTGCTGCCAGGGCACTCGCATTTGACTTGCTATCTATCGGCATGGCGTCAAGGCACTCACGCTTCCGGTGTGACTGGAGAGACTCGGGCTCTGCTTGAGACTGGCCCAGTTGTTGCAAGCTAATGAGTTGTAAGCCAGCGAAAAACACGACCATGGAAATCAAACGCCTTCGCGTGCTTTTTCCTGAAATTGTATCATTGTCTGGTACATGTGCACAACTCAAGCTGCTCTTGATCCTGACGTACGCAAGACTCGCAGTGCTCTAAAACATCTAAAGTTTAAAGGATGCCAACCAAATGGGATTTCCCAGTCAAACTGGGGTTGTTTTTCTCATAGCGATGGCCCAATGCTACTAGGTTGGAGGCCATCGCACCGGATTGTGGGACCACGGCGTTGGGTCGACCCGGAGGCCATCGCATCGGGCAAGAAGCGACGATGTAGAAGACAAGGTGCAGAAGGCCTTCCAATCGAGTTGATGGAGCAAAAATGAGCCAAAGAAGACCTGTGCACATCCCCCAAAATCTTAGGTTGCTCATTGCTCATTCCCTTTCTGCCGCCCCACTACCAAAAAAAGGATCCGGCTGAGAATGGCCACCCACCACATGCTCCTCTAGCCACCACAATGCTACGACCAGTCCATCACGTCCGGGGGGCTCGATCCGGAGCCCTGGATCGTTCAGCCGCAACAAGCGTTGCATCGGCTCCAAGTGCGCCTCGGCCACGCGGTTCGCGGTTCTTCGCGGTGTTTCAAGAGGCTCAAGGCACGGGGAAAGGGAGAAAGATGGTCTTCCAACATCTGCGATCGTAGCTTGCCATGTTAGTGTGGAGGACGATCGTGTCCGGGAAGCTTGTCAAAGCATGAAAAGGACGCGAGGAAGGTTTCACGAGCTTGATGTGTATAATCTATCACTGCCACCATCTTTTTATACAATCACAGCCGCTCAACTGGCTTCAGTTTGATTGACTTCAGGAGGACACAACCAGGAACCCGTGTCCAACAACTTTAGGCTCCGGCGAAGGGAGGATGCCCGTAGACCATCTGATACAAGATGATGCCTAAAGACCTCACAACGGGCACCATCGCTCACCCATAAAAAAGAAACACAGTCTCACAGTCTCACACAGTGTTTCCCAGAAGGGCAATTCCTTCATTGTGGCACATTGTTTGGGTGATTCTGCAGGATTGACAGATATTGACAGGATTGACAGGAGATCGGGTGTTAGGCATTGGGGCTTAGTGTACCTAAACTGGACAAATTCACCAGTGTCAAGTTCTCGTCAGGTTCTGACATCCCTGAGTCACCAGGAGGAGGACTTCTTAATCCACACATCTACACATCTAACCCTTCCAAGTGTGAATGGTTCCACAGTTTTTGGGGAGCTTTCTGTCAAAACTTATTGCTGTTGGACACTGATCGACGGACGGTCCACAGACTCCACCTAACACAGCTTCGGTGCCTTGTCAATTGTCGACAGATTGAACTTCTGAAGAAACCCCACAGAAAAGGGATCGGCAAAGGTCCAAATGGTCCAGTGAGGTCCAGGGTGCCACATCGTGCCGCATTGAACGTGGCGAGGACATGCGACGACCAAAAGAAGGGACTGGGGAAAACATATACTCTATAATATCTATAAGCTTCTCTGCTGGTGAGAACAATAACAACGATGCTGCGCTCTCTTTCTGAAAAGAAGAGAACTCCATGGCCCTTGCCATGTGTTGTGTTGACTACGAGGCCGGCTGCATATGGATCTGCCTCAAAAGGATACAATATCACAAAAAAGGAGTTTGTTGGTCAATGTCCTCAACCTCCTTGCGCCCATTTCAAGACACATCCACGGAAAAGCAAACCGCCTCAGGCTTTCCTGCCTCACTCGTCAGAGCGGCCCTCGCTTTGAGCCCCTTGGCAAAAGCCTGGCCACTCCCTGCTTCTCAGCGTGACGGATGAAACGGGTTTGGACCGCCCTCGCTTTCGCTTCAAAAATTACACCAAGCAGAACAAAACAGGTGCTATCAGGTGCTTCAACATGATGTAAGGTCTTTCTTTCACGGACCGGTCCATGGGTTCAAGCTGTTCAAACTGTTCAACGACCCCAAAGAAGCCATGCCCTGCGCCGCCTCTGCGCAGTGTGTCACTGATCCCGAACTTGAAACGTCCCGAGACGCTCCGGAAAAGCCGTGGACTGAACGAAGTCGGAAAGCTCGGAAAGGAGCACGTTCTGTGTTGGATTGGACGTTCAATTACTGGTTGCTCGATTTGGGATCATGTTGTGATCCAGAAAATGAATTGTTGTGATATGCAAATCACTGGTGTGTTCAAGCCACAGACTTTGGTGCATTCAATGCTCCCAAGCGGGACCTTGGTCACCCTGCTGGGAGAAGGTGCCAAGGGCGTCAAGTACCACGCGACCTCACTTTCACCCGATCGCTTTCGATCAGTGTCTCATGCTGTGGACAGCACGGGTGCACGGTCAGGACCTCATCAAAGTCGTGGCGCGTTCCTAGCAAAAGCGTGTTCCTAACGCCACCACAACATGGACCAGTCGGAGATGAGGGGACCTGTAGCAAATGCAACAACTCACATGTGGGACCACCTAAAACATGACCCGCAACAGGGTTTTCCTCCTACGAACTCACTGCTTTCTTCGCTTCCAGCTTCCTTTTCCCTGGACTTTCAGACGACGACAAGATCAAGAAAATTCCGAAAACCATGTCTCGACAAGCTCGACAGCCATTAGTCATATTGGTCGTTCTCTGATTGACCTCAGACCTCCAAGATCATCTTCGAACTCCCGGTCCTGGGGGGGTCTCTGGCTCCGTGAGAAGGGCGTCCTCTTCGGTGTCTTCCCGGAGCTCCAAGATCCGCTCCAAGCGAGCTGAGGCGCTACCTCAGAGTGATCGGCTCCGGTGTAGGTGCTTTTTGGGGGTGAGCAAAGGGTTGCATTGGGATGAAGATGAAGTCATTTGAACTCTCTTTTTGGTCATGAAGATTGGTGAATGACCATGGTGACCATGGGATGCCTTAGGTGAGCTCCAGCATGTGCATTCATAGACTAGAGTCTTGACTAGAGCTGTTTGGGTGGGGGAGAGAGAGAGAGAGAGAGAAAAAAAAAAAGAGAAAAAAAGGAGGAAACCCGTTTTTTTTGGCAGGAGAGTCAATGAGAGTCAGTTCTGTTTGGCTTGGGAACCCCCAAACCAAACATGAACACCCGGAAAAGTTGGACGTTTCGCTGGAACCCGACCTCCTGAGGTGGTGTTTCAGGTCTTTGGGCCTTTGGAATGGTGAGGGCGGAGGGATGCAGATGTATCTGGAGAAGGGGTCCAAATGAAGACGACTTGGTGAAGTAGCAAGTGAAGTCTTTCTTCTCTCACAGAGACTACTCAATCCATCTCAATCCGTTGATCCTTACAAATGACCTTCAGTTGAGCCCGATGCTTCACCGGTCGCGCCCCAGCACCGGCCGGTTCGGTGCGACGCGAGCGGCTGATGCGGTCGGAGACTGGCGCCACAGTCGGCATCTGATCCAAGTCAGCCTGGATCTCAGACCGCTTGCCTCTCAGGGAAAAGCAAAACTTCGACATGTCAAACATGAGAAACAATATAGACATGGAGAAATCGGGACCAAAGTCGCCTGGGATTCGAAGTTTAGTTCATGACTGGAATCCTTACCAATGCACGATGTGGCGGCCCACTCAGCACATCTTGACAGGAGAATCCAACTATATAACCGAAAGGGGGTCCACCCATAATTGATGTGATCGATTGCTGGATTGATTGATGGGTTGGTTGGTTGGTTGGCTGGTTGGTTGGTTGGTTGATTGCTTGGTTGATTGTTTGGTCGATCAAGACCCAGATTCGAATTATACCAAAACGGCTTCTTCTCATGTCCCTTGTGATCTCTGTTTTCCGCCCGCGAAGATTGCCTGACTTTTTCTTGCCTGACTGCCTCTTCAGTTGCATCTGTCCTGCGAGAGCTTGCACTGCGAATGGATGCTGACGAACCAAAACCAAGCAAATTGATAGTCCTTTTTGGGACTAATAAGGGTCAGTGCCAGGCACCATTGGCCTATTGTTTGGACAAAATCCATGGTTATACAGTGTACCCGGAACAAAAGAAAGAACGTCCTCAACCATCCTCAACCAAGAAAAATCCACCGATCAAGGACGTGTGATTGAGGACCATCAAATGGCTTTGGCGGCTTGGCGGCCTCTCCACTCGGATCGATCGATCGAAGCATGGGCTTCACCGAGCTAAGCCGAACCGGAAGATCGGACCCTCCGAATCTTGAGATGGAGGCCTTCGGATGAATCGAGCTTTACTTGGGTTTTTCCACAAAAGGAGGTTTTAAGAGGACACTTTCAAAGGAAGAGGGCTTGGACAAGGTGTGAAACAGAACTTGGGACCGTTCTAGGATGCCAAAAGAGAAGTTGGTCTTCTGGAAAGGATGCAGCATTGATCGATGCTTCGGATACCTAGATCCTCCATGGGATTCGGTCCACACAAAAATCCAAGCATGCCAGCACAGTGCCAGGAATCTTGAAAGTCTGTTAATAACATCAGGTTGTCTTCTGGTAAGGGGGGGCCCAAATCTTGAAACCAAAAATTCCAGCTGAGAATTACTCATTAATCATCAAAAAATCAAAAAACATTTAAACGTTAACACGTGATTCTTGGTTCTCCTTGGGTCTAAGACCGACGGCCTAAATGAATGCCTCGTTCAGTCCAACCGCTGTTGCAGTCCTAGACTTGCTCCACACCCCATGCTAGTCGCATCGGGCGCACCACACGCCGGTTCTCGAGCCAAGCCAGTCTGGTCGAGACCGTGAAGGCCGTGAAGGCCGTGGAAACGGCTGTGAGTCAAAACCTCCCACGACAAAGCATGGTAGATTGACATCGACTTATGACAGACGAATTGGTTCATTTGACCGTCCGGGTCGACCAGGATGTCCGGGTGCCATGACCCACTGACCTTTCGAGACTGAAATCCATCGTTCCATGGCAAGAATCCCTGATGGTCTGAGCGTCTGGAGAACAAGAGAGGAGAGGACGAGATACGGAAAACCAGAGTGACCAGCGATACAACAGCGCAATGTGGCGCATCATGACCCAAAGCCCTAAAGGGTGGTGTTTTGCTTTGTCTGTCCCAGATCCATCCCAAAGATTCCCACAGTGCTACCAGGTGTGTTCATCAACCCGCCCTCCGAGCCCCATTCGTTCGGCTCCCACCAAACCACCCTCTAAAACTGGCCTGTGTATTTGGGACTAGAGCTGTGCCACAAAACTGTTGTGAAAATGTTTCCGTCCAAAAAAGGTCTGGCTAGTACTGTACTACCCACCGCTTCCCTTTGCCGCGTAGCCGCGTAGACCCACTCCTTCTTCCGAGTCCGAGTCGTTCTTCGTCCGAACTGCGGGCCCCCGGACCAAATGTCCGATGCACGACCCAGTTTCAACCTCGGTTCTGGTGCTCCGCGGTCGTCTCCGTGCTTCTGCCGATCAGACCAGGGCGGGTTTGGAAGACCTTGGGGGCGGACAGCGAGGTGTTGGGGTCAACGGTTCGGTTCAACGGTTGGGTTTGCTGTTGTCCACGAGGGATTTGGAAACGTTCAACCGAATTGGCAAGAATGGTTGGTCTGAAACACGTGCTCAAACATTTCTAAGTCGACGCCCCACCAGGCTGATGGGACCACTGGTTGTGGTCTTTTCCGCTCGGTGTCAAATTCTGAAAACTCCCACTTGCCTTCGCGGACATGGCAACTTTTGGCAGGTGCAAAAACAGGCTGGATTCATGGCTTTCAGGAAGACACACTCATTTCCAAGGTCTCTTTCTGGCAGAATCAGCAACAAACTAAAGGTTTCGTCGTCATGCTTCGTCCAAAACATGAGGTGTTGATTGCCAATTTTCACAACCTAGGGTTTTTAGGTTTGAGTTCATCCCATT